AGAAAATGTGATTCCTTCTTACAATATGGATGGTTATACACCACTTTCAAAATTCCTTCTGATTATGCATCACATTTGCTAAATTTGCTTACATAAGCTCCCATCAAGCATTTTAATGAGCCATGCTATAGGCTTATAGAAGGGCTCTGCTGATGACCATCAGCCTGCAGACTGGGTAAAAGAATGTCACACATCCATAAATCCCTAAATGGCTGACAAAGCAATCAACAGACAGACCCAAATACTCTCCCTCTTTCCCCACACTCTTAAAATCCATCACATTATCTCAGGCTTGCAACATGAGGCAGAGCAACAGAGAGTGATCCTGGCAATAACCAGGAAATATATTAAGAAGAAAAGAAAGTCATCAGTCAGTTGAAATGAGCTACTGGGACACCTGACACCCCTCAAAGGAGAGTGGCCACTGTAGCTGCTGCAAGCAGCGAATGGTAGCAGCCACTGGAAGGTGAAGGTCTGGAGCCTATCAAGGTCCAAGTGAAAAAATTATTTCATATGGAAATTACTCCAGTACATATTGGTCAGTCTCCTTCAGCCAAAATATGGGATGAAAAAAAAGTCAGCTGGATAAGGATAAACAAGGAAAGACAGAGCTTTTTAACAAGGTTGATTTCACATAACATTTAGATACATATAAAGGAAAAGAATCTCCATACTCAAATAATCCTCTTCTGCTGTTAAGGAAAAGCCTAAAAGCTAACTTGTTCCCTGTTAGCTGATCCAGCCAGTTCAGTAATGTTTCACTGAACATATTGTGGGGTTTTGTCCAAACTTTGGGAGTCTGTATTCAGTGCTGACAAGCAGGCACGACACAGACACAGGACCAAGCCTTATCTTCATCCTCAGAATGCTCTTTCCAAAGCTGAACCTGCGGTGTTAACCAGTAACAATTCAAGTTCCTTTTTGCTCAAGTCTCTGGATTATTGCTATTTGCACACATGTGAGTAATTTTAACTGCTTTTACAGAATATAGAAATGTTGAAATGTACCAAAACAAAACTACGCAGACACTCTGTGTCTGGAATTCTATACTACACTCACTAGGTTTTACATCTTATTTACATTATCTCAGTCTGAATGGAATGGCAATTCTACAATCACTCTTTGAAGTAATATGAGTTTTGGTTATTTACCAAAACCTGTAAATACAGTAAGACATAACTATCATGGGTATTAGGTAAAAATGAAATATGAATTTAAAATAGACATTTATTTTACTTTTGCAAAGTGGTATAAACCAGAATTGAACCTTGTAAACACCAGGACTACTGAATACAGAATAAATTTCCATCATTTCCACAGCAGATCCAACTCCACTGGAAATCACAGTGGCAGAGGTACAAGACCAGACCAAGCACTAACAGTACCCAACCACTTAAGTAAAACATTAAAACTTGCTTAAAAACTGTTACCTGGATAGGTTTTTAAGTTTTTTGGGTTTTTTTGTTTTGTTGGGGTTTGTTTTGTTTTGTTTTGTTTTAAACACCCCAGCTCCTGATTCACTACCTACTATACTACAGCTAGTACTAGAGTGCTGAACTGGCTGAGTTTGGTTATTCAAATACAGTCCCTGCAGGGGTTTTTGTCTGTGTGTTTGTATCCTTCAAGACAGTTCAAGTTCATCTGGAACATCTTTGAGATTAATGTCACCTTGCCTGTGGTTAAAATTCTTGTTGAATTTACTCTCTTCCCATCACCCCTTCAGGATTTGTTAAAAAAAAAAAAGAAAGCCAAAACCCCCAAATAAAATCAAGAAAAAGGATTAAGGTCTTGTACAGTATTTTCTAACACTCTTCAGTTTTAGAAATTTTAGGCATAGCTTAACTAAAATGCTGCACTAGATTAGAAAAATGAGTAAAAGTCTGTCGTTTATTAACCTCAACTCCCTCCCCATTAAGTTCCAGTTCTCATGCTCAGAAATCATTCTTTGGGAAATCATTTAATGGGTTTTAAAAACAAATATTTGCTGATAATTGGAGAAGGGTTACTTAAATTGTTGAGCAGTGACTGGCATGAGCAAACTGAAATCTGAAATGTGTTCACTGAGCAAGAAGTTCAATCAACTCTCCTCCTTAGTGAGGAATTATTGAATTAATTCCAAAATTATGATGCATAACCTAATCAAAATTTAATTTAAACTTCCTCCAAGGTAAAGTAATAACATTGTGGTGCTTGATTAATGAATTTGACTGTGTTTTAATCTAGGAATTTCCTAATTGTCCTTAGTATTAACGTAAGTATCAATGAGTAGTTAAAAAATAAGGAATCAATCGGTTAGCTAGATTTCTTGCAATACAACTGCAATTACAATTAAATAATATTGCTGTCATCAGTAACTGAACATATTTTAACAATCCCACCAAAATATTTGACTGCAAAAGTCGTGGTAGACCTCACAGGCAGATCTTGGCACATCACAGGCACCCCTCAGCAGGGCTGATAAGCCCAAGAAGCCTGAGCTGCTCTGTACTGCTCTGCTCCCACCCACCACTAACTTGTGTCCTCTGGGCAGCCCTGCAGTGAGCCATGGAATCACATCCTTAGGGAAACAAAGGCAATTTAGAGCAAAAAAGCCCCCACAGCATTTGCTCCCACTGGTGTGTCCTATGTGAATCACCTGATGCTTCTATGGCAACCAATGTCCGCATGATGGGACATTCCACACCACAGGAACACAGATCTATCCTAGAAAACCCCACAGCACTGAATAAAATGAGGCACTTCAGCCTGAGAGGACTTCACATGGTGCTGGGTTCAGAAAAGAAGCCTTCTTCTCATTTTCTTCAGGGCAGGAGAGATCCGACTGTGGCTGTAAAATGTTCATAGCTTCTTTATGCTGAATCAATCATTCTCTAGTAACCAGAAAATTTAGGCTTATTTAATTCTACAGCAACATAGAAACAAGGACCCACATGTTCCTGCATGTCTACATGCCAGCACCATATATACCTGCTTCACACAAACCCTGCTTGTTTTAATGATATAGAAACATTTTTCCCAAACCAAACATCAGAAAATGCCTGGCTGTGGAACAGTTGCATCCTCCATTCTATTTTGGAAAATGTAAATAAGTTACATAAATTATATAATAACTGGAGAAACATCACACACCTTGTCACAGTTTCTCAATAAATTTTTCCAAGTATTTTGGAGATAAACCCAAAAACAAATCCTTAAAAAAGTCTTTGCTCACTGGGATCAGATTTCTATGACTTATTTAACAATTCCCAAGAATCCCTTCTAAAACCAGCATATAATGAAATTGAACATACTTTTATAGCCCACCTATAACTTCTTTAGAACAACAAATTTACATCAGCTCTTAACCATTAAGTTCTAATATCATAAATAGGAAGACATTACTGTTTTCAAAGCCATATAAAAGAACTTCCTGTCTTCAAAACACGTATGCTGTTCTTTCATAGAAATAGAAACAGACCCTAAAGCCACACAATATTGAAGGATATATTTAGTACTTGCTGGAAGAATCCTGACAGCTATTTTCCTGTATCAATATAGCTGGCACTCAATTCTTTACTGTTTTTCTTCAATTTTCCTCTATGCTACATAAAACACAACTATTTTTAGTGGTTGTGAGATTTCAAGGCTACAAATCTCTGTAGTTATTGCACCCTCCTCTTCTTGCATATAATCTCTCAATTAAAACAAATGTGTCCCTGAAGAACTTTGAAGAGGCTGAATTAACAAACCACTTAAGTGAACCAGAAGCAAGCCAATCCCTTATGAATACAGAGTCTGCAATTAGCCAAAACGCTCCATTTTGCCATTCACAACAAGGCCAATGTGCAATAAAAATTAAACATTGATGCAGGCAAGGTATTCCCATGGGGCTCACATATATTAAACCATTACCACTCAACAGTTGCTTTATGTCCAAGAAACTGGGACACAGCTTGAGACTGGCTGGCTGCCTATTTGATAAAGTGGAAAGTTATTGGTGACAAGAATTTTCCCCTATTTTCGTCTCCCAAGTGGCACAACCAGGCTCAGGAAGTACTTAAATGTGTCAGCAGTCACATGCCCACAGTGGTGCCAGACATGACTCAGGTTCTCACTGAGTAGAGAATGGCATCCCATAGGTTCTGCATGGAGTCACAGTTATGCCTTTGGATCAGCCCAAAGTGATAATCCCCATCACTGGCTTTCCCAAAACCTCTGAGGATGATGCCACCAGCATCTTAAACCCTATCTGAATTTAGGTCTTAGCTCAATTAGGGTGAGTTCAGCAGTCCCCACTGCAGTGATGACCTTTTTAAGGAAAAATTCAGAATTTAGGTGGCTTCATTACCACTCTGCAGAACACAACCTATAGAAATTTGAACACAGAATAAAATAGTTTGGAACCATGATTATTTTTACTTCAATGGGACACAGTCAGAAAAAACAAAGATTGCCTACAAAAATCCTATCTGAAGCCACAAATGAGTAACCCATAATCTATCAGCTCCTTCAAATGTTTCAGAAGCTGAGGCACTCAGCATCTCACCTGTGTCAAGCTAAAACACATAGTGTTACCAGCTTTTCTATTCCATCAATCAGAAACCTTGAACATTAGATACATAACTAATAAAAATGTTCAGCACGTCAAATACTAAGCCACTGTTCAAAAAAAAAAAGGGTATTTTGAAAGCCTGTACTACAACAGTAACAGCAGTTTTATAGGACTATAAAAGAACCTCCAGCTGCAACTGTAAAAGGACTTGCCACCTTGGAAAAGCTCATTCCAAAATAAATGGGCTGGTGTTCTTAAGTTCAGTTTTTATCCAGACACCCTCTATTATATCAACCTTTTCCAATTTGTCTTGCTCTGTCCTTACAAGGTCATCCTGACATTCACTTCTCAGTTGAATCCAGCTTTCCATCAACAGAGTGTGAGGATCAAAGAGAAAATAAATGCACATTGCCACTGGATGGCTTTAATTCTCATAAACTTCACAAATCCTTGGCTGGCGCACGCTCACCTTTCGCAGGAGGAAGCAAATCCGCTCAATATTCCTCAGCCGCTCCCTCTGTCAAGAGAAAATGGGGGAAAGGCAGGAGATTAGCTGGTGCTACAAATGAAGATGATCTATTACAATTACCAGGGGTCAATGTTTTAATTAATGGCTGCAGTAAAGCAGCGCATGTTATTAATCTGGATGGACAGCATTCAGTTCTTAACCACTGCTTGCAAACCCAATGATTTTCCCATTTCTAAATCCCAATAAGTTATTTCTCATTTGTTTCTGCTTGTAGCAATATCAGCTGGGAGTTCAGGTCTATGTTAGCCTTCAGCCAAAGGCTGCAACTCTTTTAAGTCATCATTTGTGGCTCTATCCAGTTGTGCCAATAGATACCACAGAGACTTGTTCTGGCATTTTCAGGCACCCAACCTCTGGCTTCAAGATAAATCTGAGTGGGAAAAACAATGAAGTTTGCATGGCAGCCCTTCCTCTACCACTAAGATGGTGCCTGAACACGTGATACTAGAATTTAACACATTAGTGAAAGATATCTGAAATGGCCTAGAAATGCCACTTTAAACAACAGATGCATTCATAAATACTGAGAATCACTGTAATTAAGCATTGTGACTCAAAAGATGTTCTAAAAACTCAACTCAGAGAAAGAAGACAAATCAAAGCTAGGCTTTCTTTTCAATGGCTCATAATGAGATGCTCACCAGCAAAACCAAATTTCACTGCATAACCCCTTGACTGGAGTTACTGTGAAAGATTCTACTTATTGTTAGTTACACTGCAAAAGGCAGAGTGGGTTTGCTGTCCTCAGAAGACTACTTGATATTTTCATTTAGATATGGCAAAAATATTCCAAACAATGAACTTTTTTAAACAGGTAATGTACTATAGCAATGTGAGAAGCCAACTCTCTCTAAGCTTTTTGCTTTTCAAATGTTTTAAAACTCAAGGTTGTGGCAAATTTAATTCTAGTCTTCAAATAAATGCCTTTTTTGCTTTTCTGTCCTTAAATTTAAGCCACTAAAAAAAAAAAAAAGTATGATTTTGGAAAGACAATGAGGCAGTGGCAGCTTGACAGGCCCCAGAAAAATACTGTGCCTCTTTTTGGAGTGTCTGAGCTAAAAGAGAGTCAGAAATTTTAGACTCACAGTAGCAAATATGAGAATGGATGTGTGTGGATGTGCCTGAGAAGCTGTAGCTGTAGCTCTTGCCTTCCAAAGTGGAGAGGAAAAGACAGATACCAACTGCAGCTGGCCTTGGAGAAGTGGGAAGTCTTTCTCTGAACTGAAGGTAATAGAGAGCAAACCATGAAATTTGAATTAAATTCTCAGTACTGATGTTATTTTTGCCTCTGATTTGTCTTTCATTCAGCCTCCTCTTATCAAAAAGGCTCTATCCTCTGTCATGAAAACATTGTGGAGGACACATGGGAAGACTTCAGTCACTCTTGCAGTGCAATAAGAGAAAACGACCCCATCAAATAAATGGAATATGGGCACAAGCAATGGTGCAGAGGGAAAAAAGAAAATACACTTGACCAAAGCTATAAGATCTTTGCTAAAAATCTTCCTTTTATGACAATATAAAAGGCATTGACATGTATACTGTGCATAAAAAAGCAATCTGAGATTATTGCTTGAACTATCACAGAAGGTTTAATGGAAGTCAAGTATGTGAACCAACCACAGAATACTCTGCTGTGCTTTCCTTTATGATTCACTTTTTGATTCCTTGACTCATATGACTGAAAATGAGACTTCTAATTTTTTTTAATCGTGGAGACCAATTCCATTACCATTTTAAAATAAGGTGAGATTATCTCTATAGAGCATCTCAAGTTCTAGGAAGTGAAAAATTAACTGGAATTTGGTACATATAAATTCAGTGTGCAGTTCTCAGAAAGGAAGTAAAAACAGATAAAGTGGATTGCAAATCAGATTACTTCCAGTAAATTCAGAACCAGATTACATCCACTGATGTCCTCTATAGGATTTCTTCATATCATTTATTTATTTTCTTCTCATTCTTTGCTTATGTGTTAATGAACAGTAAAAAAAAAATCTAGGATTATAAAGATTATGCTTAAAATCATCAGTGGTTTAAACAGTACATGTCCTCGGCTGAGTTATGAAGCAAGGTTAAATGGCAAAGCACTAGCTACTGCATCTGGTTATCAGTTGTAGGCAATTAAAAAACTTGATACTCTGTAGAGATCAAATTCAGCACCTGTCATAACCATTGTCACTCCCAGTGAAGTGATGGGGAGCCAAGTTCTGCTCTCAGTTCTGGTGGTACAAACTGGCACACGCAGCTGCAGTCAGCTAAATCACCCTATATTACAGCTCTAATTAACAGAGGAATTTGGATATGCTTACATATAGGCTGCATTTCTGAGTTTACAGTTCAAGGTATTTAATGCTCTCCTATAGCAGATGCAGCAGGAAATTATATTTTCTTCTAAAGCATAGGAGAATCTAGAGGCTTGCTATGGGACAGAGAGGTCCAGGCATGCATCTCTTAATAAATTCTTTCAAGTTTTTGGCTCATTGCTATAGACAGTATGGGAGAAAGTGGTTGTCCCATGCTCAAACGCAGAGAAAGCAAAGTATTTCAAAAAGGAAAACTTGTGCCATAGAATAAAAAGGTGAAAAAGAAAGCATTAGCATCACATGACATTTCTTCAGTTTTTGAATCTCCAAATTACTTTCCTGCCTCCTTCAGCAAAGAGGAAAGCTATTAACATAAAAATCACTATCTGGCTTCCTAAGACTGGCCCACTAAATCAATTTTCCAAACCACAGCTGACTTCACAAGAGACTCCCTGTTCATTTGCACGCTCATCCTTGACCCAAGCTTGGTCCTGCCCGTTCCTGGAGCAGCCCAGCCCCACAGAGCCTGGCTGTACTCACTGCGTGGGCCGGGTTGCACTGGTCGATGGGGCTCTTGAAGTCTGTCCGAAGCTCATCGAAGGCAATTATCTGAAAAACAATTTTTTCAAGTCCTGTAATGAATGTTCCTTCAAACACTTATTTTCCTTAAGGGACTAATCAGATGCATTGCCTGCCTTCCTCGCTTTCCAGGGAAAATATGGGAAAATAGTTTCCCTGACACACTTCCTTTAGAAGTAAATAGTTAAAACAAAACTTGGGATACTCCTACATATGACACCTAGAACTCATTAATCTGTCACTCTGCAAAATCATATCTATAGCCTTTTCAGTGTTGCAACTTTCCATATTTCTTCCCTCATATCGGCAAGATTTCTGTTCTCAGATTTCCATATGACATAAAACTACATCACAAACAAATACATCTCCAAATTTGATGGGAAAAGTCATCAGCTGCCTAAAACAGAGATGTATCTGATATGATGTTCCAGATTTAGTGCATAAACAGCACATTCCTATTAGTTTTTAAACCTACCTCAGATATTAATTCTGAATTAGTATGAGCTTCACCATTAAGCTGCTATTCATTAACAAGCCCACTCCTCAAAAGGTAAAGCACTCTAGAGCAAACAGGCCCTTCCTAAATTCCGGCAGGTTTTAGAACTTCAGACCTCATTAACAGAGAGATGTCTTTTGCTCAGGTCCTTTGGTTTCCTCCATTAACAGATGGATTGAGACACCCTGGTAATCACTGGTGCTTTTAAAGCACAGCAGACAAAGTATCTATAAAAATATTAGTGTTTGATAGTACTTTTTTGGAAGATCTTGTGTTAGATCTAATGAAGTGTTAGTGTTTTCTTGGAAGACAGTTTTCTTGGAAAGAAAACAGCTGTAATAATCCTCAGCACACTTCATTCAAAGATCTCAAAGCACATTCTTAACTCTGTGTTTGCATTCTATGAATACCTTTTCTGCTGCTTTTGTCTTGCTTCACCCAAGGAAGGAAAGCTCCCTGACAGGCACCACATAGACAGCTATTAAAACAGAGATTCCCTTTTAGACACTTTACAACCTAAAGTGTCTGTTCTTAATAAAAGATGATGGAAGTACAAGGCAGCAGTCTGGTAATTAGTAGATGAGTGCAACAGCCATTCCTTGATGTGTAACAGTGTGCCCGCTGCCTGGCTCTTCAGAAAGGAACCCAGTGTCAGCACAGACCTGCTGCATAGCCAAAACACATTCCTTATTCCTTTAACAGAGACTGAAGTTAGAAGCAGAAAACCTGAAAATGGCCTGTTCTTGAATTACAATAATATGGTGAGGGGCTCAAGAATAAAACCCAGAGCTAAAATCCATGAATTTCAGCACTGCTCCACATCCCGCTCTAATGCTGCATTCATCCCACTGAAACACATTTAAAAATCAAAAGTGTAGCATTTTACAAGAGCACTTCACAGAATTCAATTTATTCTACTATGACAAGTCAAAGTGGCAGAATAAACCACAAAGGGAACTATAAAATGTGATCACAAGTGAAGCATTTCTCCCTACGGATGCAATATCTTTCCAAGTTAGGAATTAGATCTGCAATGGTAAAAGAGCAACTAAGAGAAGCTGTGAGGGGCTTGCAGCACATTTGTGAAGAATGAGGCTCATGACACCTTTGTATTTAATCTTTCTTGGACAGGTCTTCACATCCTCCAGCTGGACCAACTGCTAAGAGGCTCACGCGTGAGCTTGTGAGTCAGACACACAAAAAATTGGGTATCTCTTTGCAACTGGATATCAGCATCAGCGCTGACAGAAAGGGGGGAGGATGGAAAAGGTGTTAGCCTCAAATATACTGCACATTTATGTTTATTTCTATTTTCCTCTTTTTTTCCTTTTTTTGTCTTTTTTTTTCTTTTTTTTTTTTTAATTCACCAACATTTCCAGCTCTGTAGCCAAACCCCTACTCTTTATTTGCTGAAACATAATTTATGTTATGCAGGCATTATATGTAAGTGAACTGAAACACATCTGACAGGTATTTCAGCACATGGTTTTCACAGAACCAGTAAGTGTAAATGCAACAGTCTCACAAACAAACCTTTTGAGACACCTGCAAGTTATGACAATGTTAAGAGACATTCCTGCTACACTTGAAAGAGACTGAGGTCTGGTTTCAAGCACACATGACTGGAGGAAAGTTTCTTCAATAAAAGGTTCAGTGTCTCTCTGGAAGGAGGCTGACAAAAATAAATCCTCCTCAATTTATTTTTAAAAAATTTCTATATTATTTAATATTTTGTTAAATCTCCAGAAAGAGAAGTCTGGTAATGACATGAAAATATCTGTTTTAATTTATGAAAAAGCACATTCCTGTTTCCTATTTCTCAGTTACAATGAAAAAAAGTAAAGCATAGGCAGTCTCAGAATCAGAGGAATATAAAGAAACTCCCAAAGCATTTTGGGGGCATGTTTTTTTTCTGTTTTGTTGTGGGGAGTGGGGTGTGTTGGGGTTTTTTTCATTGTTCTTACAATGTGGTTTGTCCTAAATCTAAAGCCACAACTGAGTAAAACTGTAGCTTCTTAAGATTAGCAGCTGCTCACAACACACTGAGTAACTCTGCACGAAATTATATTATATTACTGAAAACACAGTTGGGCTGTGCTGCAGCAGGGTTTACATAATTAATTAGGAAACATCTTCCTCTTTCAATTATAACTCACCTTCTGCAGCAGTTCAATAGGCTGGGTCGTTGAGTGGCTGGAGCTGCCATTTTCCCATGCAAACCCCAAATAATCGAGTACTTGTCTCCATGAAGTATTTCACAGTGCTCTCAGGGCAGCTTCAGTGCTCTGACCACAGCCAGGGGAAGAACCTCCTGCCTGCTCCTTTTCCAGCGGGATGCAGCTCATCCTGATTCCCACACATCTCTGAGCAGAGCTGCTGAGTGCTCTGGGACAGCACCTGGACACGCTCAGGGGCTGTTTCACCTCAGACCTGCCACACTCACAGCATCTGGAGCTGAGCAGCTCATCTCACCTCACCTTGAGACAATGTAATAGATCCCAGGCAGGGCACTTCATGAAAAATGACATCGTTTCGCCTTGGTAAATGAATGTATTTTATAAAGCATTCATTGTCTTTCAGTATCCAACCTAATTTGATGAAGGGTGGCAATCAAGACTATAAATCACGTACATGCATGGACATCAGCAACCCAATCTCCACAAAGGCCACACAATAAACACACTGTTCCAAAGTAAAATCCAGCCTGGTCACAAAGCTGAACAGAATTTGGAAATATGTGCTAGGGGCTGGTTCTTACAAAATGGAGAAATTTATTTCTATTAGTAAACATTCATGTTGTACACAGCTTCATAGACAGACAATAAGGACCATCTGATATTTATTTAGGAACTTGAACGAAAAAAAAACTCAAAACACCAAGTTATCTGTTGATTTTCAAAGCCTTACAAGGAAAAGAAAAAATTAATTATGTTTATCAATATTTTTTTAAATATAATTACTGCAGAAACAGGCCAGGGATTGAATGGACAATGGATATTCCACTGCCTTCTGTCTTGGGGAATTTTCCTTGTGAATCCACATTGCAAATCACTGCAGGAAGTTTGTTCTGTCTCTGTCCTAGCCATGCTTTTTCCTGGTGAGAGAAGTGTACTTGTGTGTGTTTTCCACTTAATAAAACTGAAATTCTATAAAAATACTGCTTGCAGTCTCTGGTGATTCACACCATCTGCAAATCTCAAAACACCCAGTACAAGCCAGCAAAGAGTTTGCCCCAATTTATACACATAATGCATCAATGAGATCGTGATGACAATACATGTTTTAATTGAAAGTATATTTATAAAATTTGTTTTAATTGCCTGCACTCTCTCTGCTTACAGAGAGACCATAACAGCTTTGAATAAGAAAGTATTCACATGAGACTGAACATGAATTTTGCTTTCTCTCAAGGGTATGCTTATGTACCCTTGATGCTAGAAATTAGCTATATAATCTCATTTTTATGGAAGAAACTTTTTTTTAATCACTGAGCTGTTATAGAAACATATTTTAATTGAGAATGTGGTGGTTTAGGGTGGCAGTGAAGTTGGTGTAGGTGTGAATGCAGTGACAGCAAAGAAGTTGGATATTATTGCCTACTGGCATCTCAAGAAAGTTAAGATAAAACAGAACTTGATGACAACCATACCAACCACAGAACAGAACAGTAACACCTAACATATGCTTCCTTGCCACCACCCTGTCAGTGCAATGCACTGCCATCCCATATTGAAGGAACTGTCTTTAATGGTCCATTTAGACAATTTGTGTCCCCTCCACTCTCCCAGGCAGCTTTCAGAGCACCCAGGCCTACAGTTCACAGGCTGACTGCAAGTCAGCACATGGACAGAAGGCAGGCAGGATTAGGAGCAGGATGTGCTCCTAAATTTCATGCCAGCCCAGCAACGGATGCACAGAGATATTAACTGTGATGGGAAAATGTGTCTCAGCCATGAGCTGATCCATTTTGATGCAAACTGGCTGAGGTACTTGGCTGGATTTTGTTGGGAAGCAGAAACAACTGAAAAAAATGTCCGGTAAGAGTCAGTCAGGGAGGAATGTAAAAGGACCTGGAAGGGATAAGGCACTGCCTTGACATGAGGGAGTGAGGGAGCCCATAAAGAGCTACAGAGAACAGGGACAACAACAAAGTGGCAGACTGAGAGAACATTTTTCCCTGCTACCCAATTCTTATCATGATATGAAATGAACCTGAACAAGACATTTATCTATGAGGTGCTCTTCATCCCTCTTTGTTCTCTGGTTGAATTTATCTGCTTAATGCTACCAAGCATGAAAGATATTTCAAAATTGTATGAATGGAGGGGCGACCTGCCTCAAATTCCAGTGAATTTTACGCATTTTATCATGTTGTATTTCCCGTCTGTATCCATTTGTTAAGCATTTCTTATTAAAAAAAAAAAGGAGTCTCAAGTCTTGGTTTTCATCATAACACTCTATGCAACACAGTAGCTTCCCAGATCAGTGGATATGATGCACTGGTGTTGATGAGAACCTTAGCAATAGAGACAAA